TATAAAAAGACACTCAATTTACTATACAAATATAATCAAAATATACAGTACAGTAAGTAACTAGTTAATTTCCATACAAATACTATTTATCATTAGAAGACTATTACATTGATAGCTGTATGAGTTAACTCACTACAAACAGCTGTTCAAAACTCAAATTTAGTTTTAGAGTTAAAATTGCATAGTACTGATGATGACAATCAACAGCAAACTCTGTTGATACTTGATGGAAATCACATCTTAAATGTCCAAAAATATCTAGTGAAAATAAATTCAAATACAGAACTTCAGCAGTTCTGTTTATGTTTCTGATATACAGATAAATCAGAGCTCCCATGTAACTCAATTTAAAAACACCAAGTGGTTTATGCGATAAAGACTTACATTGTTTATCAACTCTAATAGGCTTTTAATTCTTTTTTCTTCTAGCCTTGCAATGACTTTTTCAGTTATTAAGAAGAAAATCAAAATGTATTTTCCTTCTTGCTTTTATCTGACAAGATGATGACGTAGGGGCATTTCTGAACAGAATATAGAGCCTTGCCACACAGTCCAGCCTCTCAGAAGTATTTCTAGGTTGTGGTGATATATTCATGCACAGACTGGCTGGCTCCCATGGTTTGAGATGCTCAAAAGAGCAGCAACATTTTTAGACTATGTTTTTCCTCGGGATTACTTACTAAATAAGCAACCAACACAGTAATGATACCCCTTCTTCTTAAAAAAGTGAGAGAATTAAGAAATAGTCTGTGCTAAAATAGAAAATATAACTTCACTTCCAGATCCAAACCATGAACCACTAATATAAAAAATAATGTCACAATCCTCTTGTTTTTCCATTGCCTTCTTTAGTAATTCTAATAGTTGCAATTATTGGTCAAAACTCTTGCCAGTTTGTTTGAAACTCAATAATGAGAGAGTTTTCCAGAGATGTGGGAAGAAAATGCCTGCTCTTATTGGAAAGTAGCATTATTAACTGTATATTAGAATTGAAGAGCTTGGACTGAAGGAGTGGAGTTTTGTAGAATGTGTTTAAGAGGGTTTGATGAAATACCAGGAGACTGCTGCTAGTGACACTCTTGTAAAATGAGCCTTGTTTCCTGCGGACTGTTCAGTCTTGTCGGGACAGTTCAGTTCAGTGTAGCTGACACATATGTGGAGCACCTGAAGTCTAACTTTGCCATTGGCAAGAGAATAAAAATCAGATTGGGTTTACTTGCCTCACCCCAACACTGTGACAAAGACACTCAGGATGGAGGGCCCCAGGATATCCATTTATAACCTGGCAGCACATCAGAGCTCTTGTTGAAAATATTTCAGAATTCCAGAGCTCAAGGGAATTACCATCTAGTGTCCTAGTGTCCTGAAGAAATACACCAAAGAAGGCTGAATTTTAATTTAGAACATAAAGTGCTATTTTCCCCTGTGATTGCAGTTATGCCAAATGCCTTTATATAGAAAAATAAAATGCAAAAGTAGATGATGTAATAATTTGGCCAAGGCAGATAAAGAATAAGTTAGTGATATGCCTTGACTTCGACTTCATACATGAAACATATGAATCATGTAAATATTCCAAACCCCAACAGTAATACCCTTCTGATTGTTAAAATTATTTTCACAAATATTAATGCCAACAAAAGCAAATGGGGACTACTGTGTGGCGATCCAGCAGCTGTGTGTTCTACATACAGTATGACCTTCATGTTTCAGATACAAACACTAACTCAGGCAGGACAGCTGGGTATACTAACATAGCTCTCCAGTAAGATCTGTAGCTCTTACAGCACATTCTTGTTGGTCTTCTCCTGCCAAAAGGAGAGGCCAAGAGGCCAAAGTATTTCAAATGCAGAACAATTTTAGCATCTAAGAAACACTATCCTCAGTGTTTAAATCTGTGATATCACCAAGAAAATATGAAGAGCTGCAGCAGATACCAGTTCTCCAAGACATGCTGTGTTAGAATTGTGTGGACCTTAACAGGCAGTGGTCAAGGTGGTTGGCCTAAAACAAATGTCTTAAGAGTTTCACTAGGGTGGGGAATACTGAAAGAAATCTAGATTCAGTGAGAAGTGAAGTATTTACAGTAAGTGAAGTCAAAACAGATTTACAATTAATTACAACATATCTTAATCTGCAAATCACAGACCGGTATTTTTTTAAATTGCTTTGACTCCTAAAAAAATGACACAATTTCACACCTTGCAATATGAACACAAAAATATTAGATTGAAAAAAAGTAAACAATATCAGCATTATAACTAGAGCAATTGTGTGTAATTGTAAAGAACAATCACAGCATCTAAAATACAAGGTGATTTAACAGAAGATAATCATTATTTTAATGGACGAGTGCTCCTACAAATATATACCTTTATTATAAAAAGAACGTGAGCATCATGAACTGCATTTTCATATTCTTTCAATTGCCATATACTGTATTTTGTAAAGCATGTGAATACTATTTACTAAGACTGTACTCAAGGATACAGTTGTGAGAAAATGACTGTGAACCTTCTATTTTGGTCCATATTCTTCTTATTATTACATCTTTATGAAACTCCCAATTAAAGATGAAGGGAACCTGTTTAGGCATACAAATCAAAGATATAACATATATTTGGATCATTTAATTTACACAATAATCTGGCAATATATATTTGAATTTTTATGGATTATATTGGTACCCTTAGATTCTGTAAATGGTAACTGTTTATCAGTCTCTGACACCTGTTTTGGGGAATTTTTGGCCAAATGTTTAAAAATCATTTTATAGCCCAGCTTCCACACTGATGAGCATCAACTATTCTTTTTCTGAGGCAGCCTGAAATCTATTTTGATTATGCCATGACATAGGACAGAGGACAGAGCTGCCCATTCTCAGTCCTTGTTTACTTGTTACTCAATTATTTAATGATCTGATTCTAATTCCAGTTTATCTGCGCCTCATAATCAAGGGGATCTTTTTTTTTACACATACTGTACACGGATTCCATTTTTTTCTACTTTATAGACCAGTGGGTCTGAAAAAAGGCTGAGTTGGTAAATAGAAACTCTTTGTTTCTTAACAAACAAATGTCTCATGCTAAGAAATTGCAATTCTCGTATTAATACAGGGGTTTCACAAACTTTTCTCAGCCCTGTATGAGGGACTTACAGATGCCCTTTGACTTCTGTTTTTACTCCAAGAATCTAAAACTTACTTAAGTGTATGGGTAAATTCAGTTGTATTCGACTGAAACCAGCTACTGTTAAAACTTCCCTGAATGATTATTTCTGTGCATAGAAACAACAGGGTATTCAATGACTGAAGAAATCTTTTTTGGACAATGATAAAAATACAACAAACAGCTACAAAGCTGTTTTGTATAATTCTTCAAGCTTTTTGTACAATTTCCAATTAGGACAATTACAGTAAGTCAAATGCAATTACTCTAGTGCAGTTCATTACCAAACCTCAAAATATTAATTGTTAGGGGCTTGGCTCTTCCAGGGCCTTATTACAATAGTAAAGGAACAAGTAATAGGTTTATTCCATGCTGAAAAAAAGAAGAAAGAGAACACAACGTTTCGGCCGTGGAGCCTTCTTCAGGTGTGAGAGAGACAGGGCAGTAGGCAAAGGTAAAGTAGCGGGAGAACAAAGGTTGGGAGGGAGGAGGAGTGAGAGGCGGGAGCAGGGGACAGAAAGAGAGGCCAATCAAGAGGTGTGAAGTCAGAATGGGTGCAGAGAGGTGCGAAATGAAACTTCCAATGAATGGAGAAAATTTAAAAGAACAGTAATCTGTCGTTAAGGGAAGGGAGAATGTGTGATCCTAGCTGCAGAATAATTTTAGTTTCGGTGGTCTTTCTGATGTATGAGTTCGGAAAACCGTCTTTGAGAACACAGACGGAGAGATTAGAGTGGTTGTGGCCATCAGAGGTGAAATGAGAAACAATGGGCTTGGAGAGATCTTTAATCTTCACAGCCCTGACGTGTTCTCTGAAGTGGTCTCCGAGTCTCCTTCCTGTTTCTCCAATGTAGATGGCTGGGCATTTACTGCAAGAGATACAGTAAATAAGGTTGCTGGAGGTACAAGATGCTGTCTGGGTGATCCGGAAATTGTCCTGAGGGGCCTTGAATGAGTGTGGTGGTGGCTCAGGCTGCGTTTTTACAGCTTTCCAGTGTTCAGGCACAACACAATTATTTTAGCCATAAAATAATATTACTTTTCTAATTTCAGCATGCAGCAAATTAGTTTTGTGCGTGTGCACAATACACAGGCTTCACAGCATGTCCTACTCCACGTACAGTACATTCCAATGGCCCTTATACCGTAAGTGATGTTTTAAACCCAGCCAAAGTGTGAATTATCCTGGACAGAAAACAAGCCAATGATACAGTGCTGTGTGAAAGATATTTGGGAGCCTCTTATATTGTAATTTTTAATTTTTAACTTACATGGCATTTTGAGCTTATATTTTGGTTGACAAAGTCCTGAGGGAAGCTTGATTCCCAAAAATCGTCCGCAGATGGCTAATAGGTCTCAGGCCACTGTTCAAAACATTTCCTTGTCCCTACATGATACTTCCTTTTCCAAATAGGCCTGAAATGTATCGAGACGAACGCTGTCATCACAGTAGGGATGTAACATAAGCTGGCACAACAAATGGTTACAACAAACCGGAGCCCTGCTGAAAACAGTGCTAAACTATGTGACTCAATTATGAAAGGTCTCACAAGAGGTACAGTAATTGTAAATCTCACACAAAGCAAAGTAATAGCTCTCTGGAAACAGATTTGTTTTCATCTGGATGAAAGGGCTCTTTCAGCTTTATTTCATATTAAAAGGGAAACAGGAACAGAATCCACGACTATATAACAAAACCAAGAGATGCGTAAGCAACATGGTAAAATCAATTTCTCTGAGTGTTGTTAGGCTACCATGGGTCTAAAGTAGCTTCTTGGCTGAAAAACAGACAATAACTGTTTCTCAGCACACAAAACTGGCTTCACAACAGGATATCCCACAGTATTTTATTCAAATTACATTTGAACAGAAAAAATGGTCTTGTGACAATCTAGCTTCAACAGATTCATAATTTAATAAAGATCAGATATTTATAAGTTATTTTCAAATGGCTGTAGCAATTGTATTAGACACTTACACTATGGGACAACAACTAAAGTGTCCAGCCTTGGCTGGCCTTTTGTAGACCCAAATTCCGTAACTGTAATTACAGTATAATTATACTGTATGAAGTGCTTGGTAAAAGATAATTAAGCAAATAAGTAGTAGAACTGCAGATTCTGCATTATTAACATATAGTTAGTAAGATAGTTTCACTTTTCCTGTATGGATTTGCCAATATTTGATTCCTGTTCTCTGTTTAAAGAAGAAAAAAACACAGAAGCACAAATACCAAAATATTTAAGTATAGGAAATTCTACATGCTAAATTGTGCAAAGGTTATATTTTTTTTACCATGGTAAAGAGTATGTAATAATTATAAAAACAGAAGAGTAGACAAGATGATATGCTGAAACTCCTTTTTTCATTACACAGTCTTAATATCTATCAAGTCCTTCATACAATTGTTTTAATATACAAATTTACAATGTATCAGTAACCTATCAGTAAAATGAAAAGCACTTTAGTTTTTGCATTTTTTAATAATATCAGGAAATCATTTCATCACATAAAGAACAACTCTGTTGCATATATACAATTCTAAACTCTATAGGAATGCATTTCAGGCACATTTACATGGAAAAATAGAATAGATTATTCTAAGCAGCATTTTTTGTTTGGAAAACATACAACATAAATTTCCTTTAAAGATAAAATATCTACAAGTGCTTCTTATTACAAAAATACATAATATTCTTCATCGCAGGGCAACACAGGAACATTTCAAGGGTAATTGAGTCTAAACAAATTCTGAACTAAGTTTAACCACTGCAGAGATTTTAAAGTTACATTTAACCTTTTTTTTATAAACACTTCTTAAAGACATTTTAAGGACATGTATAAAGCACACCAGTGACAGGATTATTTTAAGAACCTGACAAGCAGTTTCTTAAGTTACTTTGGAAAGACACCAGAGTTGAGCATTATATGGAATGAGTATGTCAAAAAAGCTCATTCGGACCAATCTCAATGTGGGGGATTTGTGAAGATGTTTTGAAACTGTATCAGAGATCTAAGGCTGTATAAAGTGTGTAATTGTTTGGTGATTGAAAGATGAGTATATAAACTACCCGAGGACTTTTTCTCTTTGCTGAATGTTTTACAGTGCAAATTAATAAGTGATTTACACCAGTTTCCCCTGTATACATTGTCTGCACGCCTCATTGAGATTGCTGTGCAACACAGTTTCATAGCACACATTTTCGCAATTAGTGATGGACTATTTAAAAAAAAAAACTTGGACAATGTTCTCCAGATCAGCAAAAGAAAACAAAAGAGCTGCAGGGACAATCCTAACGAGCACCTTTTCAGGTCCTGTTGAAAGAAAGGATCATCAGGCTTTGATATTGTTCATGACTTTTAACTTTTAAGAACAGCTACAGAAGAATGAAAAAAGGGAAATTCTTCATTTTCCAATACTTCTATATTCTACATTACTGCAGGTTAAAATGCAGTGGATGCATAACTGAAAAAAACAACATTCTTAAAATCTGATTATTTGTGAAATTACTTCAAAGAGAATAGATGTAAAATGTTTTCTAAGAACAGGTAAGGCCATTAAAATATACATAATTCAGGGAACATTTTGAAAGAGAACATTGCACAAGCTTTCTTTTCTCATATGTGCTCATTTGTGAAGGGACACTATCCCATCCACATCACAATTTCTTCGCATTCATATCCACCCGACCCATCAATATCTCTCAGAGTTCTGCCAAAAAAGCCATTACCAGTTCTTAAAGTTGGCACAAAATCCAGCCTGGGTAATCACATTTCAGTCTGGCCAGGGAACAGAATGTAAGAGTTTTCAAAACACTTGCAACCAGTTTTTCCTCGCCAGACAGTGATTCAAAGTTTAGAAATGTACATCTTGTGCATCTTTCTAATTACTGGGTAACATAACACTTTTGTAACTGTTACAACAGTTTTTATTTCTTGAGAAAATAAGCCCACTTTTTCCATGGCCTCTGTGTACCACTCTGAAACTGAAAATCAGCAACACTCTCCAACAGCTTGAAGCTTCATGTATGTCAGCCAATGTACATCCGATAGTCAGTCTATCAAGTAATAATCCCTTTATCTCAGTGGCTGTCAGTCTCAGATGGACCTTTGTATCTTCTGGTAATGTGTGGATAAGGACAGCAGCACAAAATCCACAACTACAACGCCAATTGTGCAGTAACTGGAAAAAAAACGCACTTCTTACACAGAACATCACTAAACTTCTGTTTGTACAGAAGTATGTGTTTAAACATTGTGGTATTCGAGACCAGGCGCTAGATGGACTGGTGTGTAAAGGACCAGCAAGTCTGTACAGTCCTCCAGCAAAAATAAGTTGCAAATGAAGCCAATTTCACCAATCCACACTGCCTGGATGTTGACAACCAGAAATCAGACCCAAGTCCCCACTACCTGCAGAGGTATGTCATGTATACAGTGAATAGAATAGCTTAGTTGAAATAAACACTGGTATTTTCAGATATATTTGGCATGGCAATTCCCCTTGTCAATTTAATATTAAGAATCAACTGTTAACTGGAGCCTGACAGATTCATTGTATTCTCAGAACATTCAACTCCTGTGACTGGCTGCATGTTTTATCTTTTTTTATTTTTAAAAACTGAAAATCCTACTTTGTAAACTTGTTTTATTGATGAACTATAGAAGACTGAGGATTGTTAAGAGATCAAATGTTCAAATTCCCAAAATAAACAGTTCAACGCCCTCGGATCTCATCGACAGTCATGTCACTTGGAAAGAGGAGGATTGTCAATAGCTTGTTTTGTACTGTGACTGGGAGGACAGGAGACTTTCAAAACGAGCAAACTAATATCCTTCAGATAATGATTTTCAAGAGAAGTTGAGTAGAAATTATGTTTTCTCCAAAATTTGATGAAGGGAAACATTTTAGAATAAGCGGCGAAACCAAGACATTTAACAGAAACAGAAAATGTGCACTTTAGCTGTGCTGGTTGCAGAAGGTCACTCAGCTCTCTGTGCATGAGCAGTAGGCCCGAGTTCCCTCTCCTATATCGCTGTGAGGCCTAATTTCCACAGCCCTGAAATCCTATCTTCATTGTATTAATTTATGAGCACAGTCTGCACTGTACCCATTACTTTCACAAGGATATTTAATATATCTTTATTATTTATTTTTTCTAGAAAAAAAACATGTTTTTCAATTTAAATATGTGAAGTCCAATTTGCCATTATGGAATGTTTACCTGAAACACTCCATGAAATACTGATAATGACAAACACTTACAGTAACGTATTTAAAGAAAAAAAAATCCATTATATGGAAAATTCTTAAACAAATTCTTACTACAAGGTTACTTGCAATCACATTTACATATTATTTTACTCTCATTGTGTGGTGCTTTTCATACTTTTGATATCCAAAACCATTAGCTTGTGAATAATAATCTATGCATTGACACAACCCTATACACACAGAATATAATTGTAATTTTTAAACAAGTAATATTTCAATTATTAGGAAGGTTTAGATGACAAAGTACAAGTGTATGTCAAAAGTGGTGTTTTAGAAACTGCATTTACAGTATTTTATCAATTCCAATTTCAAGAATCTCATACATTTATGACCCAACTTACAAAACTGTTTTCCTACCTTAATGTGACATAACCTTTGAACTAGGAAAGTTAAAACATGAGTAGACAAATGAGCCTCTACACTGAGCCTGTCATAATCGTTTGATTAGAAAGCATCTGGACCTTTGTAAAATTATTTGAACCCTTTTTAGCATGATCTGACTTAATGTTCATGTTATTAGGTGAAAAAGACCTAAATTATTACTTTCATGAGACTGAGTGCAAGATTGATCCAGTGAACACAGTATGGCATGTAGTAAGTCACTAGGAAGTGAAGTGAGTACATTTCTAAACTCATGATATGAGCTCCTTGATTTGTTGCAGTAATAAATACAGACAAACATTTATCCCTCAATGTTCAAGAATGTTACAGAGTATTGACTACAAAGTCACATTAGAGGAAAATAAGAAAATAAGGCAAAAACAAGGGAATTTGACTGCATGCAGAAAAAAGGAATAGAAGATTCTGTGTCCCCGGTCCAGGCACATCCATTCATTGTGCAATCTGTCGATGGGTTGAAGTTAGTGCAGACGTCACCTCGCAGGTCTCACTCTTCTCTAACCAAAGTCGATCCGCGGTCGATATTCTAGTACCATAGGGTAAGACTGAGGAGAAAACAGAAACCCCACCCGTATCAGTTCAGTGATCATTGCTGTACTCTTTACTTACAATTTTTCATTTCACAATGAATTTGAAAGGGATACTCTTTCCGTTGTTCACTGTCATTAAAGAGGAAACATCTGGAATAGTGAAAACTGCAAAGCACTGACAGACACCAAGATAAATTCCTCCTTACGTCCTTAGGTAGAATGAATGCAGCATAATTCAGGCATCTGAACTCTTCTATGAAACTGAATTCTTTCCAAAATTTTTGTTCTCCAAGTGCTATATAAGTTAAACCTTAACCTTAGGTTTAGCTCACGCAATGTAAATCATGGATGTCTAACTGAAATTAAAAATGTGCAAAATATCAGGCATAAAACTCTGACATAATTTAGTCCCAAAATCCACAAAATATATCTGTGTCCTTATTTTTTCATGTGTTGAGAAATTTTTCTTGTTTTGTTATTCCATTTGGAAGTATTCAAAATATGCATTTGTGTCTGTCTCTTGATTTTTCAGTCTAGGTTTTGAAATAACACAACTGATTATTTTGAGCCAACAAGCTTTATTTCCACAGCATATAACTCAAAATGAAGTTCCAGGCTGTAGCACAGCGCCAAATTGGAATGGGATGTAAAAGTGAAGAACAACATTCAAACAAAAGTAATTTAAACTGTCCTGTCTTGTGGTTATTGCTTTAAGTCCAGTACAGGCCTAAATGCATTCAAATTTATCATCTAGAGTTAGTCTAGAGGACAGCTGTAGTCTTATAAATAAAACATGTATGTTTTAATGTATGACTGAACCCCAGATTGATAACTCTTTATCAGACATACTTCAGAGTTGTTGAATGACCCACAGCTGCTCCCTTGCTCTGGTATTAAATGTTTTATTTTGTAAACATATTTTAATTCATTTTAATTTTTCAAAATGAGTCAACTCATATGCTCTTGAGGGGTCTTCTGGACTAGCCTCATTTTACACTATGCGACCCCTTATTCTAGGTCATTACCCAGTTGTTCCCAGAAGTCCACAAGAAGTATTACTACATACTGTAGCAGCACCTCTGTGGCTTCTTGAGTACCACTCTGCTTGCAGTGACAGCACTGAGATATCCGGCATTTACTCCTGCGACTGGTGCTCACTCTGCTGTAGGTACAGGGGGGCTCATAGTGTGAAAGAACAGAAGAGGAAAGTAACAGTGTGCACCCCCCCTCCCCCAACTCGCTGGCTGCAATGAGGGTCCTAAAGGGTTCTAGACAGCAACACCACACTGTAACCTGAGCCGCTGAGCATCATCAAGGTATGGGGCTGCACTTCAGCGGTGCATGAAGGAGGTTCCCTCCTACGTGTGATACGTGTGAAACACCCTTTTGGAATGAAAAGAGCCTTACGAATACGAGCAGTTTTTACTATTATTAGTGAGAAAGCTAAGCTCTGCACTGTAGAGATAAAACATCCCTTTCTGAAAAACAGATGGACTTGTGCACCACATATACGGTAGACTGCTAAAACAGATTGCTGTCAAAATACATATTTGCATTTCCAGGTCAAGCAGGTGAGTTAAAAATGGGTTTCCACAGTGAAATCGACTGAAAGCAGCCACCTATTTTTAGTCTGCAGCTCTTAGGACATTATGGTTCTTACCAGGGAGGATCCGTTTGATATGACCTAATTTCCATTATTTTTTAAGAAGTGGGAGATTCATTTTTCACTGTTGGATGGTTATACCAAATGGCTTCCCTCACAATTTATGGCTGTTTCCACAGCTTGCGCACAGAAAGTTCTCTGTAGAGCATGTTTAAGATGTATTTGAGGCCCCTGCCCTCTACTAAATCAGAATGGTAACCTCCATGCCACCGCACAGTGAGACCACACATTCAACCTGCCAAAGATAAAAACAGAAGTGGGCTCAGACTGGGACAGCTGTTCTGCCCTACCAAAGCTTTCTTCACTTGTTCCAGAGACTACTGAGCATTTCATTACAGTGTTGACACCTGCTCTCTGACCCCACTGCCAAACGTTGGACTTTTCATTTTAACACGCTATTAATTTTGCTGGACTTAGCAGAGTGGTACTCAGGAAGGGAAGGCCTTCCTAGCTGAAGTTGAAGTGTCTGCTTCCCTGCATGTGTGAAGTTCATTTCCAGAAATAGTACAACACTTATCTGTTTCTACCAAAGGGAGTAATGAGGGATAAGGTTTCTTGTATAGACTGCCTTTTCAGCTTGCATTTTTGCTAAGTTTGTGGACACACCCAGGGAACTTGTCTTGTTACACTCGTTTAATCAAAAGAAATGTATCCAGGGAATCTCTAGTACCACGCTACTCAATGCATAAAAATGGGCAAAATGTCTGAACAACATTTATCCAATGATTATAGCGGCACTTGAATGATTTGAGCAACCCAAAGAATATTTTAGAAACGAGGATGACTACATTCAAATACTGTTTTAAATTACTGCTTTGCAAAAGTTTTTTCGGGGTTTTTTAAATGACAAATTACATCCTTCCTGTCGCAGCTCAGACAGCCTTATCATTTCCCCCTTTTCATAACTCACAATTTTTTTAAATGCACAGACCAATTCCCCTCCTATTACTCTCCCTCGACTGAACACTATTCTTCCGCTTCATTCCACCTGCACTTCATGCTTCTAGATGTTTTCACAGTCAGTGGCTAATCACTGCAGTCAGTTAATTTCCCCCAGTTTCTTTTCAGTAGCAGTTGCTCATATCTTTACAAAATCATTCTGCTTTTCCAGAGTGTGAACATTACCGAACAGAAACTGGCTAGAAATTTGAACATCTTTCAGCTTTGAATCATAAAAATGTATATAGAATTAGAAAATTCAAGCCTTGAAAAATATGTTGTGTTTTCAGTGTTTTATTAACAAGGCACAGCTGTTTACTCAAAGATATTCAACCTCTTTCAATCGCAGTGTTCTATTTGCTGAATTCCAAATAATGTCCATAATGTTTTTGATTAATATTGGACACAGAGAACATCCAATTAATTGTGTGACTTAAAATTAATTTTGTGATCTTGAACTAATCGAGATTTGTCACAGCGAAGGAGGAGAAGTTATCTTTGCAGTTTTTGCTCACATTTAACTTTTTTCAGCCATAAACATGCTCACTTTGAGTGTTCAAGTTTTGATTAAAATATTCACTTTAAGAATGTATACATGATTTGTAATTCAACAATCAAATATCATTTTGAGGGGTGTGAATACTTCTAAAAACAACTGTCATTTAAATGTTTTTTTGTAGGTATTTAAAGAATCAGTTTTCAAAGAGAGAAAAGAGAAATGTACATTAACAGTAGCAAAGAAGAGATGTGAGGTGTTGATTCAGGTCAGAACTCTACCAGGGGATTTATATGCAAAATAAAAATTAAAGAAAATTCCCTTAGATTAAAACAAATTACTACAATAATGTATATCTACTGTTAAAATGATTAAAAACCAGAGATTATACCAATGATTTCAAAGTAATTATTATTTTCTTAGTATAGTGCTGATACTACTTTTGGTACATTACAAGACCCTAAAGTAGAAACTTATCTGATTATTTATGAGTTTGGAAAACTTACTTTGACTTTCTATATATTTTTAGAAAAGTTACCTTGGAAAAGATAAACATCCATTTTTCATTAGCAGACAGTTTCACAGCTGATTAAACTACCGTGCTGAATGATAGAGGCACAGTATATTGGCCAGGGGAGGATACCAGCCTGACCAGACTGGGAATAGGACTTTAGACCTGCCAAAAAAAAACCCTGAAGCACACATGAGAAAAGGGACGTTTTTCTTGTATTAATACAACAAGCAGCAGGAAAAACACCACTGCATAGGTAACTACAGGCAACTCAAAGAATTATATACTTTCAGCTTTTAAGAGGAAGCACTATTTCATATAACTACTGAAATTTAAAGAGTGATCCAAATGCCTTACATCTCTTTGGAGATGTACAATGTGACTTGTGAGAAACCAGAGATTTTATTGCAGTATTACAATATTGTTTTCTTAGCTTAACCTAAAAGCTTTGCGGTAGAAGCAATCATGCCCTATGGTTCAGGTTACAGGGAACTGAATGATAATGAGCAATAGCATGTTCTTAGGCTAACACATTAAGCAGCTTAATGTCTACTCAAGACATACCACTAATAAGGGAATCCTACAGAACCACTTGACAGCGGAACTGCAATTTGAGGACTGAGAAACTAAGAGAAACTAAGAGGAACACAGAGGAACACAGAGGAAGACACAGAGATATGAATTAGAACTTACATTCTCTCCCCTAAGTCTCCATCTTGTCATATAAATGAATTCCATCGTATGGTCTTTTCCCATGATCTCACCATTGCATAGAACATCCAGCTGTGGCCAAAACAAACATCACTTTATTGCACACGACAAGGCTGTCAAAAGTGCATGACAACAGCTTCTCCCTGTATTGGTTGGCTTGACGATGATAAAATTAATCCAATCATGCATGCATCTTGCAGAGTGGCAGCCCATGAAAGCTTCTTACATATTTTATAGCAGAGCCAGGCAAGGCAACTTCATGTACAAGGAACAACCACTTGCACAGTATACAGTACGTCCTGTTTTGAACACTTCACTCATAATGTGCTTTAGGATCTAGAGCATTGGCTGAATAGTCAAACAAACATAATGGACCACAGCAGATACTGAAAAGAGACCAGGCAAGCACATGACAGAAAGAAAATAGGCTGAGGAGAATATGCCCTGTTAAATAGCAGACAAAAGCATTTTGCTTTTCCTGAAGTGAGAGCCCTTCCTGTGATACTGTCAATGAAATGTACTGCAAATACAGGAGATCTCGAATTAGCAATGGGCATAATAACAAGTGTTGAAACTAGAAGACAATAACACAAGTAATACAAAGAAATCAGAAAGAACTGCTGCTTTTATGGTGTTTTTGTACAGCATTTCAGCAAATGCTCAGATGAAGAAAATTTCAACCCACCCCATGTAGGAGAAATGTCTAAGAAAATCGGTTGAATTTGTAATATTTTTGCATAAAGAGTTGCAATATTTAAAACGTATTGCATATCCAAGCACAATATTAATACAGTACCATTCTTTTTTCGTTTATCAGTCCAAAGCAGATGGGAAAGAAGTATATAGGATAAAAGCAAAATAAGCACATGTGAAACAGTGTCTTTTGCTAAGACAGGGCTTACCTCATAAGAGCTAGGAAGCTTTAACTTCAAACTCAGAAACTTCTTTATAGTTCCAACTGTCACTCGCGTTGAGCAGCGAATAAATTTCTTCATTAAGCCCTGTAGCACAAATTCAAACAAGATTATTTTGATTAACAAAATTTATCCCCAAGAAGAGGAGGATGAAAATGGTTATTCCTTTACTTCATGTGAAAAAGTTTCTTCTCCAGCTCTTTCTGCTCAACCCTCCCCTGCCTGGGTGTCACTCTTCAAACCAGGAGACATTTCTTCAGGGGCCTCAATATGGAACCATACAGCTCGTAGGCTGTGTGATGCAATGCACCTAGTGACCTGAATAATCCATCTTACATTACATCAGGTTACTGTTAAAAACAAGTTTCATAGTTCTGGTTAACTAGTTAGCTAGTTCTGCACATGAAAAGGCATCACTCATTAAGTGTCTATGTTCTTACTTACGGTGTATACAGGCAAAGCAGAAGGCTCAGCTCTCCTACTGACCTTCACTACATTTTCTCCAGACTGCCCATTATTTCGCAAGCAGTCGAGGCAGATTGCTATCTGGGGGTCACTTCTGTGATAATCCTGGTCCCCATTCTCCTCCTCTTCATCTTCAATCCTGGCCCTCTTAGATTTGGGGCTTTCACCTGCGAGAAACAAGCCTGTACTGAACCACACTGAATTATCAGCCTCCACTCAAAGTACAGTAGTTCTCAGCATCCTAGTACAAGGTCACAGGAAAAGATTTGGCAAAATCAAAGATTTCATTTTCAGCATCTTGCATTTCCCGGGAACCGACTCATTTAACACTTTTTAGTACAGAACAGAAATGTGGTTAAATTTTAGGTTAATTTATCTAAAGAGCTCAGGTCCAGAGAAAAACCAACTGATGTGTGGGTCCCCAGGAAAAGAAATGGGAACCCCTGTCTTAAAGGTTGGGCACTTCAAGCAATACAAGACAACACTCTGTTATCCCACACCTGCTTGCTAGGGTAGATAGGACAGCTCTTTTAGTGGTGAAGGGCACACAGTGGAGGCGCAGAACTGTTTCCATGTCTTCAGCAAAACGATGATTTTATTATTGGGTGGAGTGGTGGTAATGTGGCTAAGGATCTGCGTTTGTGGCTGGAAGGTTGCCGGTTCAAATCCTGCAGCTGCCAGAGGAATCCTACTCTGTTGGGCCCCTGAGCAAGGCCCTTAACCCCAACTGCTCCAGGGGCACTGTATAAATGGCTGACCCTTCGCTCTGACCCCAAGCTTCTCTCTCCTGCCTGTGTGTCTCATGGAGAGCAAGCTGGGGTATGCATCCAAATTCTTAATGCAAGAAATTATATATGGCTAATAAAGTGATCTTACTGTAATACAATATTACAAGAATCTATACGTGCACTTATCACTCCAGGATTTCTCTCAGCCCCTTACAATCTATTTTAAAATAACTCGTACAACTTCTCAAAACACCTAAATAAGAACCAGTAGCATGAAGGTGACTATCATCCAGATCATTTAAAACCACCAAATAACAGGATTTTAAAAAATAATACATCTTAATAATGCAAAACAAAATATAATGTATTGTAACCAGCTATGTTTATTAGGTACTTTTATCATTATCACAAATTTAAATGTTTTGAGAGCATTTTTGCTTCACTTGATGTAAGACAAATATTGCCTATAAAGCTAAAAAAAAATTAGACTGGTTTTCAAATGTTTTCTATAACAGACGCATGCCGTGCTGCTTTTATCATCCCCGTTTCTTTCTTCGTGCAGCTCTTGTGTTCTCTGAAGGTACTGCACATATTTAATCTCCTTCTGCATTCTCTGTAATTTCTATTATAATGACTCACCACCTCCTACTGCCTCGCCTACAGATCTTTCAAGTCACAATAAAGAACTATGAATCTGAAAAACCTCTGTTAAGCCAGTCTTATCATACACAACAATCCCATGGTTTTCAACCTTAGCCTGAAACTAGACATTTACATCCCCCATATTACCTACTGTATGTTATCACTGATGGATAATACTGGAACACTTAGAAATGCCCCAAGGTTTGAGGCTCTGTAAACCAGTCAGTGGGGGTGTGACTGCATTATGGGTGTATGTTCATCATTCGGCTAAGCCATTAGCAAATAAGAAAATGTTTGTTTCCAGTTTTGGTGCATTGAAGAAATAAAGGTTATACATACTGTATATATTTTATAGGACTATTGTTCTCATCATTTAAAAGGTATTACAACTGCTATTAGCACAGACTAAGGACTTCTGTCTTCCCTTGAGCACAGTGCTTAAGATGATGCAAAAGAATTAACAGAAATGAACCTGTGTACTGTCACATTCATTACTCTGGTCATATGTATATAATAAGTCTCTTCACTAATCCTGCCACAAGAGGACTGAAATCAGACTGGTCTCTAACTATTAACCACAACTGTTGTTAGTTGAAAGTTTATTTTTGGGTGAATTCCCAACTAGTGCAAGTGATAAGCCCCAGAGATAAGGAGCTTTGTAGGCAAGGCAAAGTACAAATGAGAACTGCCACTGCTTGGAAACTTTGCAGTTTACAGTTAATTCCATGAGTCAAAAAATAAAAAAAAACAAAAACAATGCATCAATTTAGCAGCACATGCTGGAATAGTGATAATCTCCCTGCAATATCTGAGTGGTCTGGAGGGATCTCATCATAGATACCCTGTGAACAAACAATGTCTAACCTGGAGTTTTTTTCTGATTTACAAATTTTCAAGGTTCACGTGCATGTAAGGTTAACATCTAAACATTTTAAAATGTAAACATGTGCCTGTCACCCAGGGAGGGGGCTTATCAGCAGGGCAGAGTGGTGGCTCTGTGCCTAAGGATCTGCACCTGTGGCTGGAAGGTTGCTGGTTCAAATCCCATGGTTGGCAGAGGAATCCTACTCTGTTGGGCCCCTAAGCAAGGCCCTTAACCCCAGCTGCTCCAGGGGTGCTGACCTGGTGCTCTGACCCCAAGCTTCTCTTTCCCCACCTGGTGTTTTATGGAGAGCAAGCTGGGGTATGTGAAAAGACAAATTCCTAATGCAAGAAATTGTACAGTATATGGCTAATAAAGTGATCTTATCTAGGTCATTGGGTCACATTCTATGATGCATTATTATCCTTTCAAGAAGAGCAAGTGTCTACAGGATACACAATGACTTGATTCATGTAGTTTGAAACTGCCCTCCAGAATTCATTTTTTTGGAAAACAATCAAAATATACTAAATTATTTGGGGATGCTGACCAGTAAGAAAAAGGTATTAAATATTAAATTGATAGCTGTTCCTGTGCTCCCTTTAACGTCACCTCAATAACACCTTGGATGTCAAAATGTCTGGTTTCTCTACAGATTTCCTGTGTCCTGTGACTCCTTGGGGAGCACATGACACAGGGCAGGAAAGAATGAATGGCAATTGCTACTGCTATTACTACTGACTTTAATGAGCATTTGTTAGTGCAAGGCTGTGAGCCCTCACTGGCTTCCCATTGTAAACCTTCAGTATAGGTTTCTTTCAGCCCTCTCCTACTGCACCGTGATCTGAACACATGGGATTCAGGAACACATCTGTGGGTGAATTGTCTTTTGGTCACAAAGGTGAATTGGACATCTCCAGAGGTGCAATAGAAGTTACTGTATGTAAATGAGACAATCAGTGTTAGAGAAAGTTCCTTTTGAAAATTAATTATTTAAAGTTACAAGATAGTCATGTAAGGGACTACATTTCAAAATTAACAAGAGGTTTGGAGAATATCATTTTAAAATGTCATCACAGAGATACAGTACATGTAGTGAGTTTATAGTTACTATGTAAAGTAATAAACTGCCTCTTAAAAGCAATTTTCCTTCATCTTATAAATGTATAAAAGTAACCTCTTACCAAGGTACCTGCTAATTGTAATTGATTACTTTCTAACAGTAATTTTCCCAACACCATTGACAGCTGTGATTCACTCTCAGGTCTTTTGCATTTCTGTGCACTGCTGTGGCAGAACACTTGCTTGGACTCTGGTCAGAACAGCTCTGCTTCAATTCAGAATGTTTTTAAAAGAACCATAGGTACCAGCGGCCAGGTGACATTTACCTTCACCATTTTCTTTTGAATTGTTCTTCCTCCAGAATTCAATCTCCTGTTGTTGTTCCTCTAGTCAATAAATGAAGAAGATGATAAAAGGATAATATTAATGAAAATGAATAACATTCTTCACATGAAAGACAGGTGAACACCATTTAACGAAATATGAAAACAGAACATAAAAAAATTAAAATCCATTTGGCATTTGATTAAAATAGAAGAGATGATTTAGAGCAGCATTTTCACATACCTAAAGCATCGTCTTCTTCTCCTGACACTGAGCCTTTAATGCAGGTAACTTCTCACTCTCCTTAAGAAAAAAATAACCTTCTTTCTACACTGAGGAGGGTGCAAAATAAACCAAGTACATAAGGCTTCTTAGTTATCAAATAAACCTCAAATATTAGAGGATTAACAATATTTTTTATTAAACTAGAATACATTGCTTGGAAAGTTGGAAACATGCTGTATATTTCTGTTCATAACTAGCAAACCAGAGCTTAAAAATGCACAGACTTACTTTCCCGGAGTCCAGGCACAAGTTTAAATATTATTTCTTCCAAAGTGTTGTCCAGCCTTTCCGAGAACAAGAAAAAGGTAGCAGTTAGAGCTGACAGAAAGAGGCGAAAGAAATTACAGTAAAATGAAATACCAAGGAAATGCAGTCATTCTGAAACCGACAGGTTCTTCACTTCCAGTACAGAAAGAGACAAAATATGTGGCTTTTCAAAATAAACCATTTCTAAAAATAACATTGGAGACAATCATCGTGTCTTTACTCATCATTTCAGCATGCAGAAAACATAAAGGAAAAATAAAACCTGGACATAATCGCATTTTACCCTTTGACACACAGAGTACTAATACAGAAAGTTTAATTCAAGAAACCTGTCAAGAACTATATTTTTATAAAACAACACACCTTACCATACAATAAAAAGATAGGTGTTTGTAAACTGAATTTGGAAAAAATATTAAAAAGCCTTTAAGATTGTAAACTTAGTATTACAGCAAATATAGGAATTTAGGCTGTGCCGAGCGTGTGCACTTCTCAGCTGGGTGGGGAGGCCTACTGTGGTAGTAACTCAAGAATAACAATAGGCCTTGGTGAACTACAGAGGCCTTTCACTTTCAGTATTACATGGCAACAGAGGTGTCAGACACATGGCAGTCAGCAGAACCTCACAGATAATGGCAGACAGAGTGCTTTATGATTCACTCCCTGTGCAGCATGATTTCACCTTTGTACTGTACATTAAGAACATTCACATGTGAATCTTGTTCTGTTAGAACCTAAAATAGCTAGCAACACCTCTTGCTTGATTGATAAAATAGTCCCTAGAATAACTAACAAAAAGAACCTTAGGCAAATTATAGGCCAAAGGCATTTTGTACAACATTTATACATAACTCCCTTCTCCCCTTCCCAGAAACCACAGAAACGTCAGCCTTGTGAACCTACAGCATGAAGGAACACTGGGTACTCAGTGAGGGTACTCAGTACTTATTCTCAGACAGAAGACATGATGAGGGAACTCGACACAAGTATTCAAAATGTATTGACAAGGTTAATCAAATACAAAATATTCAGTGAAACAGGGACATTAGAAGGTCACAAAGCAATTAAGAGGACTAAACCTAGGAAGCATTTCTTTACATAAAATCTGGAATGAGCTGCCCAAAACTTTCCTGAAGCTGATTCCTCAAACTCTTTCAACAATTACTGCATGGTTTTCTCAGACCTCTTACATATAGGCCAAACAAGCCAATTTGCCTATTTTGCTGACAACCTCTTATGTTTTTTTATGTTAAATCAGGGACTATTAACCCACCTTTCCTCTTTACCTATTTTCATACTCATACAAATGCCACAGCAGAGTGTGGTAGCTCCCATATCTTTTTCCGTTAATCATTTTTGCTGACTCGCTGTTTCTCCAGTTTTACTAAAGCTGCTGCACCTGTGCAACTGCATGTCACTCTGTGAGACTGGCCAGCCTCCACAGGCCTCGGCCAAGAGCTCTACTGAAGAATTCAGTCCAGCTGCTGCCCGAAACATTGCCACAATATAGTTCATGTTCCCTGTATCAAATCCATTACAAATCAGGAGAAAAAAATCCTACACTGAAATCTGCTTTGCTGCAGACTGTTCCAGAACACTGTGACAACCCAATGGCGAGAAGGCCAGCATGTTGACTAGGTATATCTCTGAGCTGAAAACCTCAAGTGCCCTTGTAATACTAATTCTGTAATCCATCAAAACATGCTGTACTGGAGAAATGGAATAAAAATGCTCACATTATTACACATACTCTACACAACTTTTTTGCATACTGACCGAAGACTAATTACAGCTGAGCTCAATTACATTATGAAAGAAAATGCGCATGAGTCACAGCTCTACAAGCCATGCCCTGTCATGTGAGACAACACCAGGTCTGCCTGCTGTCTCCAGAGAGGCAAAATTCTCTCCACGCACAAGAGGCTTTAATCTTAATCTTTATGTTTAAGTTTGACTGAAAACCTCAGCAAGTCTTGGGCAAGGAAGGGAGGCTGTAAAACAGCCAAATAAAAGCTAGTCCTGTTGCCAACTTCAGCTTCAGCTGGCAACAGGGTGACTGCAGGGTGATTTCCTTCTTAAGATTCCTGGAACTCCACATCAGCTCTGGCACCCAATGTTTGTAATTTGCCTAAACATCTCTAGTCCATATTACAGTAAAAAAAAGTCCCTAAACACCATAAAAAGTACCGATAATATGTCAGCAAAAGCACCTTCCTTCTAACATACCTGCAGTACCTGCAGCAGAAAAACATTCCAGATGACATTTGAAAAACTCTTCTCATATTTGTGTTTATATTGAAACATGTACTTTTTTACTGTTGCTATAAGAATGTCTACTGCTGAGGTCTAAGTACATTTGTTATTTACTTTTCAGACTTTTGTCTACTTAGGAATTTGTCACAAACATTTAGAAAACAAATCCCTCCTTTTTTCTGAAATGATGTGTCCCAACATTGCCCTCCCTTTACTGAAAGCATAAGTGTACTGAATGAAAATGAAGTGTAATAAATTACTAAAATCTGAAAGAGCAGGTTAAGCAACAATTTGACCTCTTTCATGTCTTATGTGCTTAATAGTGTGTGAGGCACCCATTGTAATATAGAGAATGCCCTGCTTGTGGTCAGTAATCACCCTTGGAAGAAGAAGGCCATGTTCAAATGAGCACTTTCTTCCACTACCCTGTTGTACAATTCATTTTGAAAGAAAAGAATTGTTGTTTTATGTTACTGTCATCTGCACCTTTTGCATCTCGACAGCATGCAACAGAGTCGCTTTGGATAAAAGCATCTGCCAAACGGAAAAGGAAGAAGAAACGACTTTTTATGTAGTGGCTTTAAAAGCAGTAAGACTCAGCACCTATGTATTAATTCATTCAATGTATTTCCTGAAGAGGAGAACCACTAATCAGGCTGGCAAGAGCTACACAGCCAGTGTGGAAAACTACACAGTGATCACGCTGGCATAGGCAACATACAGACAGGACTGCCACCCCCCCACACACACACACTCCTTTGTCACCTTCAACCTAAGTTTTGGAAACTGATTACATGCACTTCGTTTGCTCTCGCACTATGGGGCAAGCTAGAACAGAAAGAGAATGGCCGGAGAGAAAGAGGAGGCCCCTTGCAGGTGACAAGTATCTGCTAAACTCCTGAAATAATGAACCAGGTACAAATGCCTATTGAAGCAGGTCCTGAGAGAGAGGCTAGGGCTGAATTTTTAACAGTGCTGTCTGCATCACCATGAGAACTGTAACATTTCAATAGAGGAGGATTACCCTCACACAAAAGAGAGAGGGATTAGCTACAGTTATGAGTTGTCAGGAAGAATACGGAGGCGAAGTCAAGAAAGACTGTAAATCAAAACTGTGCACGCTGACACGTTATGAAATTGCATTTTCTACTTTTTCACTGCGTAGGCAGGTCCTTCTTTTCAGTCAGTATGACGAAAATGAGGAATTCAGGAATTCCGTCCATGTGTATTCAAAAGGCCAGAATGAAGGAGTCACATTTACAGAGAAGGGTATGGTCGAAAATGTGTTGGTCTGCAGGACATGCAGTCATTTGCGTTCTCTGGATTTTCTGCAGGGTGTAGACGATGTCTCTTGAGTCCCCTTTCTTACTCATAGGCTGCAAGCAATGGCTGAGCATCCAACATACTATTAAGCCTGAAAACCTCTTTTTCAAGAGTACTGCACTACTGGTCACTTGAACTGGGTTGTGATGCCATTACACCAAGTGTTTAACTTGTTACTGAAGTATTACCATTGTCATTATTATTGTTGCCATTCGGCCCGTCTAGCCTGTTTGGTAGTTAGTAGTTAATAGCAACAACCTTAATATTAACAAGCTTTTCCTGTGGAGTTATCCAATTCAATATTTTTAGTAGCAGTAACAATTTTTCATCTATGTCTTCTTCAAGTTTAATGACCTGAGTTGTTATACAATTTTTTTCATTAGTAAGGTTTGGAAGGTCACAAAGAAGTGATCATTTAATCCGTCTCCTTTGTAAGTGATGGAGAATCCCAACCCAACTGTTCCTTAGGTATCAGCTACAACCACAAGGCTGTGCAGTTTGTTCCAGCTTCCTACAACCCTCTGTGTAAAGACATGTCCTCTGTTTTGTTTTTAATGCATATCCCTTTAGTTTGTTTGTGTTCTCTGGCTCCTGTTTCACTGCTAGTTTTAAAGACCTCCACTGCAATCACTTTAACAATGTCAAAGGATTTTGAACATCTGAATACTGTTCAGGACTGAAAAGATTAAGTTCTTTTAGTTTGTCAGTGTTCTCTGGGAATCCAGAGAATGTATCTGGTTCCTCTTCCCTGGACAGATTCCAGGGCAGCAATGTATATTTTATATTACATATTATACAACATATACAGTTCTACTAATGCGATATACGCTTTTTAACATCCCTTGAATCAATTTGACATTTTTTAACTACATAGCCTAACAATTTGTCTGCCTTTTCTATGACTTTCTCACAATGTCTAGACGATGAATAAAATGACGCATATTAGTATACTGTTATTATTGAATTGACTGGTGTTGCTGTTCAGTTCTTTCCCCGAGCATAAACCTCTTTTACATGCCTTACCTTAACATTTCCAATGGGTTTGTTTCATGAACTTGGATGCCGCATTTCGGACAGTCATTACTGTCTTCAAAGTGCTGGACGATACAACTTTTGCAAACTAGAAACAGAAGAAAATAAAACAAACGATTCAATAAACTGAACACCATGTATAACGGTAGACTCTATATGCGTATTTTATACCCTTTTGTATATGTCATAGTCATAATTTTATATTTAAAGAGGACGCCTGACAAATTCACATACATTTCACCAGTTAGTAAGTTAGTAAAACAATAAAAGTAATAGTCTGTTCTATAAAAGGATGAAAGCACCCTGCTGACCCGGAGAGTCAGTACGTTGGGGCCCAAGGGGGATCAAACCTCTTTTACTTTTCCATTTCCAGTGCAATACTCTTATCAATGGAGATATCTGGTCACCTTAACCATGTCTTACATGGCTCAAAGTCTAAGGGGTGTGGTTCTTATTGAGTGTCATGACAGCAGTATGATCACCTTGTAGCTGGTCATGCTAGACCCAGGAAGCCAAGCAATGCTGAGTTGGGTATGGGATAGGTAACCTCCAAGCTCCAAGTAGTGTTGATGGACCAGTAGATGGCACTTTTCCCTGTGGACCTTGATTTTCCAACCCGTACTGTGGAGTGGTGTCAGGGAGCACTATTAAAGGTGCTGCCCTTCAGGAGAAACATTAAACCCACTTAAAGTCCACTTGGATGGGACACCAGTCTATTAAAGGGCCACAAAGAAAGGGTCAATTCAGAACTGCCAATTAAGCCCGGGAAGAACTGACAATCTCCACACATGAGAATGGGACTGGACACAGGGCACTACAGCTGGAAGAAGGCAGCAGTGCTAACCTCTCCACCTTCATACTGCCCTACCATGTCTCTGATGCCACTCAGCAACTTTATCAACAGGCTTTAAATGAAACTGAATAATTTTCCAAGGTTGAAATTCACCTGCTCAGGAAAAGTGCCTCTGATTCAAGACAAGGCCCACATTTTGTAAGGAGATTTGTTAGAAGCAAGTGCAATTACAGCCCAGATTTGAAAAAAAGCATTAACTATTAGTCTCACAAGCATAGAAAAATACAATCGAACCTAGTCAGCTAGTGCAACAGCCATCACTCTCCTCCAGCTGATCAGTCAAGTTGCTTTCTGGTCATATTTTGAGATGTTGTCCTTGCTCTTCCACCTAAAATCAGCCTCTCTCACTCCTGACCTTTTTGTATTAAAACTCATTATAATTCCGCAGAGGTCACAGCTGGGACTGCCTCAGTTGATTTGTGTTTGACATTTAGTAGCTTTTCCACACTGTCCATTTATTGCAAGCAGTTCCATTATAAAATTAGATGTCTACTCGAGTGCGTTAACTTGGGAAAAGTTCAAGCAAAGTCAGACAGAACTGCTTTAGAACATCATCAAAGCCTTAGCTGACCACAATCACTGTCATTCCAAGGAAAATGTAGTTTATAGATGCATATACGCATCTGAAAAAGCCAGGTTCCTTATATTTCAATACACTTTGCAAATCTTTACCCTCATAGAATCTGTTTCACTCTACCTGTACATGTTAGAGGTTGATATATTTCAGTTCCAAAGGCTATTTTCATTGTTTCTTCTTACCAATAAAATATCCGTGTGTATTCTTGTATACCCTTACACAACAAATATACTGTATATTTTTACCAAGCTTTCTATCAGGTTGTACTCCATGGTAGAACACTGAAAATTTTGCATGAAGCAGTCTTTTGCTGTCTCTGCAGTTATATGATAAACTATTGTACTTCCTATCTATGTAATCCCAACAGCATCTATGAACTGGAGTTTTGAACTCTGACATGAAGGAGATTGATAAAGATGTTACCCAAACGGCCAGCATACAGAGATACATACAAAACACAGACCTCACAAATGTTCTACACACAGAAGCTCCCAAAAACACATGATGGCCTGTCATTTCCATCCAGCCATGAAGGGCCAAGAAATCACAGACCTTGATTCAAGGGTGTCTGTGGACAATGATGCTTGAAGTACATTCTTTATGTAATTTATTATTCCATCAGGAATGGTATATAATTTAATGCAAAAAAGAAGATAAAATGCTTTCAAAATGTAATTCTGCTTTTCATGTTTTAGTCACTATACTATCCATCACCAGTAAGCAGCAGATCCTGGTCAGGGCCACGAATGTCAGAGCCCCTATCCACAAAGCATCCAGCTCAAGGTGGGATAGAGAGGACACAATTCTCCCATTACAGGACATCTAGTCCTGTATCATATACTGTACTTCTTTCCTTATAAAAAGCCATCACAATGTGACATTCTGGGTGGACACACACATAAGAGGAAAACATGTCTTTGTGAAATGACGTTTTTAACTTAATAATTAATCATGTGCAGTACTTTTTTCATCATGTTTTATAATGCTTGTTGATATCTTTAAGACTGTGGTGAGCACTATTAAAATTGAAGCTACCACACTAAATCGTGTGATCAAGCAGTTGAATGTGCTTTGCAACTGTGCAGCTCACTGATGCTAGGAGAGAGAGGCTGTGTGTCAGGGTGACATCAGTGCCTCATTCCAGGAAGTCTGCTGTGTGCTTTCCTCTAAAGAGTTACAGCCTTGCGAGACACCCTCGACAGAAAGCGTCACCCCAAGCCTGCTGGGCTTAACAAGATGCAGGAGCCGAGCGATCCATTACCCACTCCTGAGAAGATGAGAATCGTTTCGTCAGGTGATGAAAAAAAAAAGAGGTTTAATGAGGTTCAGGGTGGCTTGGCCTTGAATATGTCCTGTCTCTATGCGACAGCATTGCCTGAACACTCCAGCCCCATCATTTAGCATTTCATTTTCCACCATGAAGGTGGAAGGAGGGTGGTGATCACCGAGGGGACGACAGTCCTGGTCTTCAGTGCCAAAAGCCTCTGACTATGTACCCTTCAGCTGATTTGGCTTGGCTCTGAGATGTTTGCAATGCACAGCTCCACTTTCTCATGTAAATTATTCCTGCTAATTCTCCTGGGAAAAAAAAGCACCGCTTGCAAATCAATAGAAAAAAAGGGAACTTGGGAATCCTTCCAGAAATAGTAATTGAAGGCAAAGGCTTCTGCTACACTGAAAGTGATTTTCAAAAGTTTGTTATGAATTTGAAACAGTAGTCGTAAATTCCCCCTTTACAGGTGAGAAACACTTTCACTTTCAAAAAAAAAAAGTTAGCCCACCTTTTTTAAACTGAATATTTTAACAGTTAACAGATATGGCCAGCAGCCATATCACTCTGCAACTCACAACTGCAAACCCACTGAAGCAAAGCAGATGTGAGCCTGGTCAGTACCTGGATAGGAGACCTCCTGGGAAAAACTAAGGTTTTGCTGCAAGAGGTGTTTGCTGTTCCAGGTGCTGCTGAAAGAAATATTAGTAGGGCCAGCAGGGGGCGCTCACCCTGCGGTCCATGTGGGTCCTAATGCACCGGTATAGTGACGGGGACACTATACTGTAAACAGACACCGTGCTTCGGATGAGACATAAACCCGAGGTCCTGACTCTCTGTGGTCATAAAAATTCCCAGGGCGTTTCCTGGCCAAATTTCCCATTGGCCCTTACCAATCATGGCCTCCTACTAATCCCCATCTATGAATTGGCTTCATTACTCTGCTCTCCTCCCCACTGATCGCTGATGTGTGGTGAGCGTTCTGGCGCACTATGGCTGCCGTGCATCATCCAGGTGGGGCTGCACATTGGTGATGGTGGAGGGGAGTCCCCATTACCTATAAAGCACTTTGAGTGGAGTCTCCAGAAAAGCACTATATAAGTGTAAGCAATTAATTAATTAGTTAATGAATATGGTCCTTCCTGCAAATACAAGTCCCAAAACGCTAGTAGCCATTTCTTTCTGAAAGTATTCTAGGTCTTAGATGACAAATTTACATTCTGGGTATAATCAGAACCACAAACGATGTATAATTTTAACATTTTTAAGTTATTTAAATGCAGTACAAGGTTTTAGTATTACATAGAATACCATGGACTATCAGAAATGAAACCCTTCCACTGCAGAATTTCTAATTTCTGCTACAGATAAAAGTAAGTGGTATGAGTCATTTGTTACCTGGAATGTATTCTATCAAAATTCTTTTGGTAAATGGCACACTCTTTATGCTCTAACTTAAGAAATTCACTAGTAGCCTAACCAGAAATGAACCAGTGTTTTCCAAGTTTAAATTATGAAAGTATTAGAACGAAATTCCAATATAGTGTGTAATACTGCTACACTGCACTGTATAATTTTAATTCTTCTTTTTCCAACTAAATGAGTGGCCACAACAATATTTCTTCAAAATTTATTTGCTTCATTGCTACAGACCAATACTAAGCCCTCAAACTCTCAGAGAAAGGTTTTATTCTACTGCAGAGTTTTTTTCCCTTCATTTGAGCAAAACATCAGTGCTAGACTTCCTTGAAAAATAAAAAATATCACATTTTAAAAGTTAACTGGCTAGTTTCTTCTTCACATTCTTGAATTGCATGGTAGAAAACAAACTACTGTAAATGCACTCAGTACAAGTTATTTCTTACAGCTCTCTGCAGGGGACAAGAATTAGCATCACCCAGCTAGCTATCATTGTATTAAAAGGTCTTAGACGTAAATATATTCTTCTTCTTTGGGATTACAGTGAAGGTCAATATAATTTCCATGACAGATAAAAACTGATTTCCCTTCAAGGAAAAACAAATTGGATACACAAATGGCTTATTCAGAAAGAGCGATACTTGTTGTCATGGTGATTCAACATACAGCTGAAGGTAACTTTGTTCACCCTGATACATGCAGCAAATACTGTATGTGTGTGTGTTAGCTTCAGCCTGATCCATGATTAGCCACGTGACAACCTCAATTGTTTATTGCTTGATTTCTCTTTTAAAAATACAAAAAGGCTGAGCCCAATAATCTAATCAATTGTTAGTATATAAAGCCAATATAAATTGAAATCATGTAAATCACATGCCAGAGTCTTATAGAGGGGATGGTTTCTGTTATTTTACATACATGGTGTTCTGTTTAACCCCCTATGTAATGTTGATTTTTGTCTTACACTCTCCATCTTCCATAAAATCTTTTTGTAGCCACACAACATAAATAAGATACAGTACTGTACCTGTCGTAACTCAATGTAATATCTCTATAATATTGCTATAATATCGCAAACTAACAAGTAAGGGAAAAATATCTTTGTTGTGTTAGACAAATTGTTAAATTAATTTAACAAATGCATATAAAGTACCATAGCTCCACAGTCAATGTGAATTCTGAACACCGTTTTCTGAATTTACTTACAAATCAATAATAGTCTGTTTCTCCTAAATACAAGTTTTATCAAAGTGGAATAGAGTAAACTAGAGGCACAAAGAACTGTAAAACATACTTTTCAAACTCCCAAAGCTTCCCTAATGTGCCAAATGTTTTTGAACTGCAGACCTTGCCAAGCAGCTTGTCAAGAAAAAAAGATTTATTTTTTGGTGCAACCAGTAACAAAAAAAAAGCTTGTGTCCATCTACTCTAGATCACACACAAGCATTCAAACCCATAGAGAAGCTCCCAGCTCTCAGGAGACTCCAGCACAGAAACTGATACTGATTGCAGAGAGAAGCAGCAGCAAACAGACTGCAGTCCCCAAAGAGTTTTCATCTTAAGTCCTTTTCCTTCAGAGATGACAGAAAATAAAATCAATGCGTGAGCTGTGCAACTCCAAAGTGCAATGCTGTGATGTGCAACCCACCACCTCTAGGTCTCTTCCTGATGTTTAAGTTTACTCAAACGTAGCGTTTCATGTTGCAAAAGAGCGGTTTTGTTTTTTTTTCCCCAACAGAAGAGTATCGGAGATGCGCAGTCATGGACAAATATCTGCACAACACAACTGTGCCAAGCGATTCTGATTCTGTTGTGGGCCAATGTAGAGCAGGCATAATCATTAAAGTGACAGTACTATGAAACCAAGTTTATACAAATATTTATTGGAGCCAAGTTCACATATCAACTTATGAATAATACCCATCCACACTTTCATTTTCAGTCCACTTATCCTGTGGTGGCTCACAGGATACGCAACACATACAAAAAGAGTTCAGGTAGGTAACAGCCAAAGAAGGCTGCACAGCCGAAATGTTGCGTTTCATTTCTTCTCTTTTCAGCAAGGAATAAACCTTTACTTGTTCCATATACAAAAATATACACATACAGTTGCAAGAAAAAATTTGTGAACCCTTTGGATTTACCTGGATTTCTGCACTAATCACTCAGAAAAATTTGGTCTGATCTTCAGCTAAGTCACAATAATAGACAAACACAACCTGCTTAAATGAATAACACACAAACAATTGTACTTCTTCTTCTCAGTACTGAACACATCATTTAAACATTCTCAGTCTAGGTTGGAAAAAGTATGTGAACCTCTAGGCTAATGACTTCTCCAAAAGCTAGTCAGGAGTCAGGTGTTCCAATCAATGAGATGAGATTGCAGGTTTGAGTTGGAGGTGCCCCACCCCATAAAAAAGGCACACAAAGGCTGGTTACTGACAGAGTCTGCTCTTCTCAAGAAAGAGCTGTTCATGTGAACCATGCCTTGATCAAAAGAAATATCAGAGAACCTTAGAAGAATTGTAGAGATGAATAAAGCTGGAAAAGGCTACAAAAGCATTTCTGAAGGCCTGAGTGTTCATCAATCCATGGTAAGACAAATTATCTACAAATGGGGCAAAGTCAGTACTGTTGCTACTCTCCCTAGGAGTGGGCGTCCTGCAAGAGCACAGCTTGCAATGCTGAGGGAGGTAAAAAGAACCCTTGGGTAACAGCAAAGGACCCGCAGGAATCTCCTGGACTTGCCAAAGTCTCTGTTCATGTGTCCACTATAAGAAAACCCCTGAACGAGAATGGTGTTGATGGAAGGACACCACGGAGGAAACGGCTGTACTCCCAAAAAAAAACATTGCTGCATGTCTCAAGTTCGCAAAAGACCACCTGGATGTTCAACAGTACTACTAGAACAATGTTCTGTGGACGGATAAGACAAAAGTTGAACTCTTTGGCAGAAACGCGCAATGCTATTTTTGGGGGGGGGGGGGGAAAGCACTGCACACCAACACCAAAACCTTATCCCAACCATGAAGCAGGATGAAGGGGGCATCATGGTTTGGGGCTGTTTTGCTGCCTCAGGGCCTGGACAGCTTGCTATCATAGAGGGAACAATGAATTCAAAATTGTATCAAGAAATTTTACAGGAGAATGTCAGGGTAGTGGCCTGTCACCTGAACTTAATAGAAGTTGGGTGATACAACAAGACAATGACCCGAAACACAGGAGTAAATCCCCAACAGAATGGCTTAAACAGAAGAAATTTCCATTCTGGAATGGCCAAGTCTGAGTCCAGACCTCAACCCAATTGAGATGCTGTGGCATGACTTGAAGAGAGCTGTTCACACAAGGAATCCCAGAAATATCAATGCACTAAAACAGTTCTGTAAGGACGAATGGTCTAAAATTCCTCCTAACTGTTCCAAGTCTCATTAGCAGATACAGGAAATGTTCGGTAGAAGTTATTGCTACTAAAGAAGGTTCTACCAGTTACTAAATGAGTCTTCACAAACTTTTTCCAGTCTGGACTGTGAATGTTTAAATGATGTCTTCAATACTGAAGTGCAATTGTTTGTGTAGTATTAGTTTAAGCAGATTGTTTATCTATTGTTGTGACTTAGTTGAACATCAGACCACATTTTTATGAGGAATTAATGCAGAACTCCAGGTAATTCCAAAGGGTTCACAAACTTTTTCTTGCAACTGTAGATACAGTAGGTTATGTTATCAACAGCAGCCCTGCGATCCTGCGATCCTGCTGGGTGAAGGCCCTCTCGCAGCTCTCACACAGAGCCTCCGAACTTTCAATAGACCTGGGGTAGGAAATGCCAGTAAGGGTCTGCACACCTTTTGTGTACTTCTCTTTAATAACTCAATTGAGCTACTGTACATTATTTAGTAAGATGTTTTTTAGGTCTTAATCAGATGCTTTTGCATGTTCCTGTTTCCTAGAATGTGTTGCAGAAATATCAAATTACATTGCATTCCTTTTGGAGGTTCAGCAATGGGTTTCATACTTACAAGTGTGGAGGCACTCAGTCACTGTTGTGGGCTTGATTAGGTATCCTTTACAAACGTAGCAGGTGATGAAATGGTTAAAATCTCTGACCAGGTGCTTCCTCTGAGCAGCCATTTTTACCCTCAGTGGAGGTATCAGGATGTGAGAGGTGAGAAGGCAGTGTGCTGGGGAGGAGGAGCAGGGGTGAAGGGTTTCACAGGAGTGTCTGTGCTGCGCTGCACAGCTGTGATGCTCTGTGCATCCACCTCATTTCGATCCTATCTGTACTGTGGGGAACATACATTCTCCAGGATGTAGTCTCATGGGTGCTTCATTTTATATTCCGTGCCAGTGGGACATGGGAACCTGTAACAGAGAAGACACGCGTCACCACAGGAATCCAAACAAGCTCACTTCAGGACACTACTGTATCTCCTGGTATCGGCTGCAGTAATCGCCTATTCCCCTCTGACATTTGACAGGGAGATACCCTGGACGTGAATGCTGCAATCTGCTACAGAAAGGAAGTGAAGAGTACTGGGGGGTAAATAATGACAACTTCCTGAAAACCCTGAGGTGCCGCCTCTCAAAGGTAATGAGTGGGGGGTTCATTTCCACCAGAAACTCCTCCAGACATGGATTAGCACAATTGTGCTAAGAAGTTCCTTATTTTCTTTGGGCCTAACACCACACATAAATAGCTAAGGACACTAAAGTTCTGTTCTCATTATTCCAGTGTCCCTGAGTATTTCTGGTAACCTATCCCACTAGGATTAAGGAAATAATAGTCTCACCCTTCATCTGAATGCTGGGTGTGTATCAGAGGTGGAAAATGTATTCATATAAAATTTTCAAACCTACAGTATATGAGGAACGGTCCTGCTGGGTGTATCTTTTAAAAATGTGTCCTACATGGCGTCTCTAACTCTGCTCCAGTAAAATCAGCAAGGTTTATAGGTCATATTAAATCACACATTTCTAAATACCTCTAACAACTGTATTGTGACCAAATTTAACAAATCAATTGCTTAATAAGTAATTTAGAGATCATTTGGGATCCAACCATGAGTACCTTTCAGCCCTTCTCTACTGAGGTGTTACAAAGGAGGGGTTACAAAAATGGAGAAAAACAGGAATTGACCGAGCGCATTAGTCAAGAATAAAATAATCATAACCCCCAACGTGTTAAGATTTGGGCAGGATATACCTTAGTTGTTGATAGTTAGTGGCATGTGAATTCTTTGTTCTCTGGCACAGCTTTGGTAAAAAGAGCAATAATTCTTTGTTATACCTATTTATTAACAATGATAGTGACACTCTACAAAACATACAACGTCTATCAACAAACTTACAGACAAGGCATTTCAGAAGTCTCTGTGTAGACCACCAAGAAATTCCCAGGCTGCTACCAAGCATTTGGTTCTTAAATAATGCCTATAGAGGCCAAATTAAGAAATAAGATGCCTCCTAAACTTAATACAATACAACCTGTAGTAAAATCACTCTCTTGCTCCAAGGCGGATGCCACAAAACAAATGGGAGCCTATCTCTCTATTGTAAAATGTACCCACTAGCAGGAGAGGCAGTATTAAAGTGAGGAATTCTTTCCTCAGAAATTCCAAGCTCCCTTAAAGCTACAGAATAGCAAGCTCTCTTAGCAAGATTCAAATTCTTATCTCCAATCTATTTTTTTCTGGATAATCATGAAGTAGGGACTCTTGCCTAGTAAAACCTTCAAGTTCCGTCTCCTATCTTCTCTCTAACTGGTGGGCTGACCTTCTTCATTCCTTTTTCACCCCTTTCTTTCTCCTGATCTGATCTAATATGCTGTCTGTCTGGACTGTTGATTGGCACTCAATTATTTAACCTCTTAAGGTAAACCAAGGTAAGTTTTATTATTGCTTTGATCACAGACTCGGGATCCCCTGCATCTCATGGACATCCCCTCTGCTTTGAAGCTGGAAATGTTTACAGTTTATCTAGATTTTTAGACACCTCTATTGTCACCTACCTCAGCCTGTAACATTTGCTTAATTTATCCATAATATACAAGTTGTAATAATATTGAGAAACTGATGACCTATAAGACTAACAAGATTGGAGCTCATCAGTATTATTGCAGACATTTTTTTTTAAATAAAACCTACAACTATATGTATTGGACATTGCAGAAAATACCTTTTTTAAAACAATCACACATTATTCTAAATACATAATGTTGATATTTATTCACACTCTGTAAATTTACTGACAATATCAGCCTCAAATGTTTTTTAGTCATCTGGTTTAGCATTTAGTCAGTAAGTTTATAGATGCTTCTGTAAGATGTCTTGATTGCTACTGAACATTCAGGGAGAGGGAAGAAGGAAGCAAAACACTCAGAATCACATCAAGCAGGAGAAATGCCAGAGAACTGTCCAAAGATCTCAGGTTATTAAGAGATTATCGACGTCAACCACTCTGTTGACTGTTACAAAAGTCTTATACTGTAGCATTCCAGTTTTCACTGCGGTCTCCATCATCCAGCAAGCTCCAAGTCAATGTGAGAGTTTCAGCCCCAACAAGAAGAGGACAAGGAACATTTGTTCTAAATGTGCAGTTAGAGAAGACAATTTGGAGGCTTATTTGATGTGAACTACCAGTGGTATCCTTGGTTGTCAAGGACAACAACTGGAAATCATCAGGATGCGATGTCTCCAAGACTACCACTGGAGACTGGTCTGTGGCAGAGCTCCATGATAACATAAAAAGAAAAGATGAATGTGCCACACAGCAACTAATTGACTCGAAAGTGAAATGGGACCAAATTATGTAGCTGAAACACAAATTGAGTTTTTGGACAGTCTCACCAGTGGTGTGATTTACACAGAAAGGTGAAGCTTTTGTTGGAGAAAGAATGCTTTCTGTGAAGTACAGAACTGGGGCTGTCATGCATAATCTGCTCCTGGTTCCCCCGTAAGAACAAAGGGCAGCATGGGCTCCAAAATATATCAGGATTTTTCATCCAAAAACCTGTTTCCCCCTGTGAAGCAGAACATGGTTGTTTGCAAACGGACTTTGCCACAGGATAGCAGCATTAGAAAACATATTCGATTGGCCTTCAAAACCTCCAGATCTCAGTACAAATTGCATTATTATTTAACAGAAGTTCAGGAAGCGGTTAAATTATCTCCCACTCTCCTACATTTAAAGACTTGCTGGGTGCCTGCAACTCTGTGTGCATCCAACCTCTCTCCCTCTTCCCCAGCTGTCTCCCTGGTTCATTCCTCCTAAGTGGGGGGAGGAATGATCTTTGACCAGCAATATTATTTCCTCAGTCAGGTGAGTTAATGCCAAAGTATTAGGTATGCTATCCCTTCATATTCTTCTGCTCTTTTCAACGATATTAGAATTTGACCAAAATACTAAATAGAACATTTGTGCTCGCGAACTAAAGACAGCAGTTCTGAAGCATCTTGAAAAGTTCTGTTTGAAGGAATGACATCAAAATCTTACATGGAAGTGCATGAACATATTAAAAGACTAAAGCAAGCAGATTCTCTGTGTTCTTGAAAAATCAAGAAGGCTCAACAAAAAGCTGTTTTGACAGTGTATGAATAATTTTGAATACTGTAAGTTTACAGAAATCAGAAACGAACTTCGATATATTCTTTTTTTTATCAATGTCCACCAGGTATTAGTCTTAAACTTTTTCCTGTCCTCAACACATGCAGTATACACTGAATGTACACACACGAATATATTTTATAATAATGCAATTTATTAATAAATCTGGAGTCAAATTAATGTTTATAAGTCAGGTTACATTTATGCAATTGTGATACAATAACGCAAGAGGGAAAAATTATAAAACGTGTCATTTCATTTCTCGCGTGCATGAAGGCAACGCATTTTGTGATCTTAAGTTTACTGTGTATTATCTTTCTGTTTTTGAGCATAGGACCCACATTTATTGTCAGATAAAACAGGCGTGGGCAAAGACGTTTATTTTATCTTAAAAAACAATCAATTACAGTTCTGAAACATTAAAACCGATTTCTTAAAAAAAACATTGTTTTAAATGTTAAATTGAAGCTACTAAAGTCAAAGCACAGGTGCATGCTTTATTACACAGCAAGTGTTCCCTCCCCATCTGTAAAACTTTCCCTTACTTTCTTGTGACATCTTAATGTTGTATCAGTCATGAACAGTGTTTTCAACAGTCATTTTAATCCAAAATTGAAAGCTGACGTAATTTTCAGGAAGTCGGACATCGTTGTCCTAAAACACAGTTTCTGTACGATAGCGGCCGTGGGCCGATGTGCGCAGGTGCCCGGTCAAAGCACCCTGACATTATGATTCGGAAGCTACGCCGCTCTCTAAGTGCGGTATTTCCTTGCATAATTTGTTCACTTCAACGAAAAGAAAAGGGGAATGCGCCTAATCAAACATTTTCCTCTTACAAAATGAAATAGCCAGGGTTAAATGTTAACAGTATGCCCTATCATGAACCGGATATTTAGTAAAACATACTCTGTAGAGAACGAACGTCACGTTGCCTAAGAACTGCTCGGGCATAGATTGCTAGAAAAATCCTCAATACGCAGCAAAGAAATAAGCTTGCCTGCTCTCTACAGTTTAACAGTGAATGTACTGTTATCTGTCCCTCATCACCAGGAAGCCACAAGCGTCACAATTTGCGTCACCTCCCTTAAAACAGGTTTAGTGGACTATAAACGCCTGAATACTGCTAGTTACCGAGACATTAATCACCGTCGTTTTAAAGGAATTTGGACCGTAAGTTGTAATCGATTTAAAAAGTAGCACTTTCCATAAGATCGGGGTAACAGTTTTCTTCGTAGACTAGTTTAGATACCTTAACTACACGCAATCGAGGATAACAAGGTCGAACTCACATGCCCAGCAACTTGATACAAATGACACATGATCCCCATCCCTGCCCACCCCAAAACTTTACTAGTACAGTACCCTGTGAAAATGATACGCAATATACAGCATCAGCGGCTCCTCTGATTTGTGGTAAACCGCATCCCTTACCTTTTTAATCTCAAGAGGCCATGGTCAATTTGATCTGATGTAAATGCACTGTTTTTCTAACCTTACGGAGGTTAAAGTGAATGGCTGATGTATTAAAGTAGTGGAGAATACGGAACTAGCTTCAGTGAGAGACTGATAGAAAAAGGGGCGGAGGAGTTTCCAGCGCTTGTTTACGCATTGCTGCCTTATTCATTCCACAGCAGATACACTCTGATTGGACACAAACTAGGGCGCAGCCTTCAATTACCAACTACTCCAGTAACTATATCAACACAAGGCTTAAGAGAAGAAGCACCGTGTTTATCAACACAACGGATTAGAGTAGGAATAAGTTAATGCACAGGCTAATGGGGTATTGTATAAAGCTGTCAGTGCTGAATGCGAGTGGCGTTTAAACTGAAAACAAAACAGACGACAAAAGACGCGTAGAAATACTGTAATATGAATTATTCATCTTGACGAATGCATGCATAGTCCATGCGAGTGACGGTTTTGATAATACGTTTCTAGAACTAATTGGAAAGGTGATATTACAGTTTAAAAAATGCACACCACCTCTTTCTCTGATGCACATACTGTACACCCCCAGAGGTATTTCCCCCCTAAAGCTGTATCTTAAAACCAAAATTGTACACTACAGTAGTGCACAATTTTCTTGCAGATTGAATTCATGTTCGTCGTTCCTGTGTTTGATAGTGGGAGGGGATAATTTCACCATTTTTCTAAACTGCATGCCTTTCTGAAAGATTTTTGAGAAGACTACAGGTTGCAGAGTGCAAAAGGCCACAACTGTGTGTATGTGCAGTTTGCACAATTTGCATGCTAAGGCATGGTGGTGAGGACAGAAGGACATAGGAAGTGAAAAGAGAGATCAATGTTTTACCTTTAATTAGCTACAGTATTACTAGTATTCCGCATTACATTCTGAGGGAGCTGGAAATGCAGTTGTCTTCATCTAGTTAACACACGCGTGCAGGTGAATACTAAAATTGCGTAGTTAAACGAACTCATCTTTAACACTCAACTTTTTAAACTGATATGCTATACTGTACTTAGTATATTGAATTAGTCTGACTTGTAGATCAAGAGGGTTATTGAAGGCAATGCGCCTGAGAAGACAGGTTGAGCATTAAATTAAGCCTCTAACAGTAATTGTCAAGAACATAATACAGCTACACCTGGGATTACGTTACGGCATACAGTTAAACAGGACAGGTTGGTGCGTACTGCAGCTGAGCTCAAATTCCTTTCATTTTATGTTCTTGTGTGTACAAGGCATTACAGATATATGACAAGTCCACTTGTGTTGCAGGTTCTTGAAATAAGGCACTTCAGCTAGTGTGAACTGCCAGAACAGACCTTATTGATACTCATAGAGACTGTTCTGCACGTGCCAATGAGTGGACCTCTATGAATTCTCATTGCTTGTTAACATATGTGCCTTGTTAAATGCACATTTATTATGCATTATTGTGCAAAGGTCTTAGACATATTGGAGACCATCAGGAGTTACAATATACTGTATGTATAACATCAGCAGCAACACTTTACTCAAAGCCAAAGATGTTTAGTATGGGAATAGTTTGGGTGGATCAGTTCTTTGGTTGGTGACAGAGAGCACCAGGGTGAACAGTCACAGCCCTGCGTACATCAGAAATCCTGGAAGAACAGTGTAGAGACCTGTAGTATTACCATGACTTAACAGCAGCTCAAATTCTGGTACTAAAGAAGGCCCAGTATATTTCTGAGTTGTCGTAACTAGGTAACTGCGTCAGCACGAGTGGGCTGCCAAGGAACAAGTAACCACACCTGAAGAAGGCTCCACAGCTGAAATTTTGTGTTTTCTTCTCTTTTCAGCATGGAATAAACCTTAACTTGTTCCTGTGTAAAAGCTCTCTACTGTCTAAAAGAAAAGCTCACTCCTAACAGACACAGAATAATGAATACAAGAAAAAAAAAGTGATCAAACAATTTTAAAAACACATAGTAGCTCATTTCAATTATTTCCATTTCAATTATTCAGCTTCATTAATGTTGATCAATTTGAACTGTTAACGTTTTAGTAAGTTAAGTGTCCCTTATGCTCTAAGCTACTGCCAGTGCACAGGTCCTAAAGTCATGTGGTTAGTAATGATAGGAGAGTAAGCCTGCAATAGCAAAATGACAGAGGGTATATGGGAAATAAAAATATAAAATATTTAAACCAGGTACATCTGCAAGTCAATCCAGCAAGGGAAAAGACTTTAACAGTCCTTATACAGGCTTAAATATCCTGACCAGAACACAACAATAACCTTCTGAAAAAATCCAGAATTGTTAAACCTGGCTACTGATGTTTTTAAAATATACTGTACTACATTATGGTCCTACAGTTGCTTATGTATTTAGTCTCAGTGAATTTAATGCTTGAATCAGTTTTTCCAGGTTTATCAGTTCAGTTTTTGCATGAGATGCATGAAAATGTCTTACAAGCAGAGTGTCAATGAAGAGTTTTGGAAAGCCTGAGAATTTTTTAAAAAGCAAAGGGAGAACATAAAGGATGTTAATTTCAAAATAGTTTTTTCCCACACATGTTAATAAAGCAAAGAAGCCATGATAAACTATTTTAAGTGTTACTTCTTTAAACTGTTGAGTTAACATTCATTTTTGTGGCTTTAAAGTCAAGACTGTCATTTGTTGGTTTTGTTATTTAGACTAGACTTCTATTTGTTTGTTTTGGAACTTTAACCTTAAATCTTATTGAAAGTTAAACAAGATATATTTCTGTATTTATTTATATGTACTTTACTCTCACAAAAGTGACCAGATTAGAAAGTCTGAAGTCATGCTTAGATACACAATATTATATTCCTTTTGTCACCGCTAATGTTGAAGTAAATAAATTGAGAACTTAAGTTTTGAAACAGAAATATACAGTATATATTTGGTGTTTGTTCTATTTTTTAAACCCTCTACATTTTCCAACTATATGAAATGTCAAACCTTTTAAGCATTTCAAGTTTAAGCATGAATAACACGTGCATTTATGGTTAAATTACAACAAAATACAAATGTTGCCCAGGGTCTGTCCTCAAATAGGAACCTACTGTATGTTTGTTCACTTCAAAAAGGAAGTACTATCAAACATCCCTACAATGATTTTTTTTTCTTTCAACAGAAGTGCAGATGGTTACATTACAGCGACACTAACATCTGAACGAGGGCAGTTTTGAAGCTCGGGAATTTGTAGTGGCTTGATGTCAATGACAGTCCAATTCAGTTTTTTAAGGAGCTGAAATCATATTTAATACAAGTCTCAAATAGAACATTTAACTCAATCAGACTATAATTAAGAACTCAACTGGAACAAAAACTAGAAGACCGGATCCCCCAGGAATGGGGTTGGAAAATGCCTCCAAAGTGACAAGACAGTGATACAGAGACCTCAGTAAGACATGCACCCTGCTACAGGCACTTTGTCCATGGAGATTGGTTGTGCACAAGACATGCTTGAATGTTAACAGTTTAGCAAGTCACTTCATTTAGAATATATTACAGACTATCATATAAGTTTTCCTAGTGTCCTTAAACTCCTAGTTTCCTTTACTGCTGTCTTTAATTTCTTTTTTTCCTAAATGCAATTAGGGAAAGCCTTATTTGCCTTTATAGACACATTACAAACATACTACTGTAAGTTTACAAAAAAGCCCCTCTGGTTTGCTATGGGTGAGAATGTGCACACAAAGGAAAGTCAACCATTTCCTTTTTAAAGGCGGAGTACTTTTTTCTTCTTAATAGATGAAAATGATTTGGCACAAATAAGTAACATTGGGATCAAGAACGGATTTTAATGTTATACAGTAGGAAACACAACTTCATTTGAAGCCAATCGAATGGCCGATACCAAAAATGACTGTTCATGTTGGCATCACTATCACATACAGTATGAAAAACAGCACGCAAGTTTAACAAAAAAAAAAGGAAAAGATGTCACTAATAAAATAAAGAATGAGGTTTGTAGCCTTGTATTTCTCCAGGAAGCTTATTCTTTTTCCTAAATCAGGCACTGCTTACGTTATACACTGACCATGAAAACATGAAGTGTTTAATTCCTTTAAAGGCCTTTTGTAGATAAACAACAGCTCACAAATCTGACATATGTTCTTAAATAGTAGTTATAAATGCCAATGGATAAAATTAATTATGCAGTGCATGTGGAACACAATTTGGAAGACTTATGATTACAGGTTTGTTGTTTAGTAAAGACTAAATTTCAGCTTTCGTTCCAGAAGTAAGTTCTGTCATGCCCAGCTGTATCATGGTTTTGATTACATGGGATTGTATAGAAAGATATTAAGAGATTTCATTGCTCCAACGTCCAGTTCTGAAAATCCTATATTACATTTAGTTTATTACAGAAAACATTGAAATATCCAACACTGGTTATCTTAATATTTCAAATGTGTACAAACCATCAGATACTCTGACAAACAGCAAATACATTAATCACTGTCTTATAATTTGCCAGATATGATGGATTCTTGCTGTGCAAATGTTTACTTTCTTGTAACAAAAGAATCTAATACGTATTGCTTTAGTCCCAAAATGTTCTGAATCTTTGAAGCTGACCACTGGCTCCTGGCTCCTAGCCATATAGCTACAGTAATAGAATACATTCTACATCCTCATCCTTGCATCTGCCCATCTCCTGTTTGTTAATTCACAGTGATTATGTTTCTCCCATAAAATCCTCCAGAAAATCTACATATCTGAAGCAGTTTTCAGTTTTCATTTTCATAAAGCATCAGTTGTTGTCATACATTTTGCTGAACAGAGGAATAGCAGTGTGTGTTGTCAAAAAGGTGATTATATTCAGAATGTGTTTGTATAATTTAGTAATAGTAACCCAGTTATCAAAGCTTTTACATTCAGTCAGCAATGCTCATTTACATAGAAAAGCAGCTAGCTGTTAGACATTTCTAAATAGAAAGACAGGTACTGCACTGTATCTTCATAATCATGTCCATTGTATATATATATTTTTATCTTTGTGCTATAAAGTAATAATGCTAGGCACACATTTCCATACATACATATATAATATATAATACATAAATAATATAATTTACTTTCCTTGACCCAGTCAATTTGCATAAATGTTTTCAGTTTTATTTC